GAGCGCCCCTTGCCCTGCCAGGGGCTGCAGCAACGGGCGGACGGTGAGGCTGCTAAGACCCAGTACCGTCGCCCTGCGCTCCTCTATCTCATCAGCTCTCCTGTGTGTTGCCAGCCAGGCAGGGATGGTCTTGGCTTGGTGCCTGTACTAGGCGCTCTGGCAACAGGGTGAGGTGTGGGTCAGTCCTCGCGGAGAGATCCTGGAGGGTGGGCTGAGCTGGAGCCCGTTAGACTCGAGGGGGTATTTCTCCGGGGCGATGGGCGTTCAGGCTTGGCCATTCAGCCGAGAGAGCGCGGGATCCACTCCCGGGAAGCGCTGACTCCCCCTGCCTGCCGTGGGAATTGAGGGCCCTGGCAGTGGGCAGGCTCCGGGCCCAGGTCTGGCAGGGGAAAGGGTGGTTACGGAGCCACCATGCCTAGAGCCTCAGGCTAGAGCCCCCTCGCTCCCAGCTGAGTTAGCTGGGCCTGAGACCGGTTCACTAGGCCGAGGACTGGTCCTGGGACAGAGCAGCCAGCCCTTCGCTGCCCTGTGTGGACATGAGGCTGCCGGGCTCCTCCACCCACAGCTCTGCCGTCCCCACCCTGTCCCACGGCCGAGCCCCCGGTGTCTGCGCAGGAGCCCCCGGAGCAGGGCTGCTGTGCTCAGGACGGGGACAAGGACACGGACACCGAGCAGCTTCTTTGCCCCATGCCTGCGCCTGAGCTGTCCTATCTTCTGTGGTGCTGGAGCTCTGAGCTGGCCCTGCGAGCTTTGGGTAAGAACTGCTTCAAGGGAGCCAAAGCTGTTGAGGGCCACGTCCCACGGGGGGGCTGGCATCAACGCCCTTTGCCCCTCAGGAAAGCCCCATCTAGTTCGGTAACAGGCTGCAGGGCTAGATGGCTCCGACTACCGGCAAAGTCTCGGTCGCTGGCTCTGGCTAAGCTCGGGTGCAGTTTGCATTTAATATTAGATGAGCTCTGCCCGGCCGGGCCCGGTCCTGCGGCAGGGCGGTCTGGCACGAAGCTGAGCGCGTTGAAGGAGTAAGGCGCATTCTCTGGCCCGTCGCTAAGCGTGCGGGGCTCTTTGCCAGTACCCCAGGGAAGGAGCTAGTTCATTTCTGGCGAAACACGCCCGTCTGCCTCCGGAGACGTTCGGACACACGCTCACGGGTGGGAAGGCACCAACCAAAATAAGTGTATTTGTTTTAACTAACACCACAAATCACTTTGGTCTGAGCCCACGCTCAGAGGCAGCAATAAATAAAACACGCTGAAATATAAGCGAGGTCAAGGCAAGACACGATCCCACTCTGTGAAGCATTTCACCACGCGACAGGGCCTGACTCCAGGATTGGCAAGGAAGAGCTTGGATGTGATTTTTTTTTTTTCCAATTAAGCTCCAGCCATTTAAGCACAAACATCCTTCATCCGGATCGTCGGGGGAGGTAGAACTGTACAGTCGCCGCTGCTCGAGTACAACGTGATTGCTATCGAAATGCATAAGGGCTGCCGGTCGGTGACTGCTTTGAAACATACAGGCCACCCGGCTCCCTCCCGCCCACCCCACACTGGCTGCATTCAGGGTGGCTGGAATTCGAGCCGTGTGTGTGTCTGCTCGGAGTCGGGCGACCCAAGCGTCGCAAAAAACCATTTCAAATTAAAGGAGCGATAATAATTCATAGGAAAAACCCGCCCACGCCACGCTGGCTGCATTCAGGGTGGCTGGAATTCGAGCCGTGTGTGTGTCTGCTCGGAGTCGGGCGACCCAAGCGTCGCAAAAAACCATTTCAAATTAAAGGAGCGATAATAATTCATAGGAAAAAATAAGATGTAAAAATTACATTTTAATAAATAAAACCAGTTTGACATGAATGAAGGAGGACGATTGTGCACGTCGAAAATATAAATATATAAAAATAATATAAAAATAGTTACAGGAAAGTCGCATTCACAACAGCCCTCTCTTGTTTTCTTGGAGGAAGAGCTAGAGACCTCCCTGGCCTTCAGTGAGAATGGCCACTACCCCAATAAGGACTTTGCTAATTAAGGAGCCTGCCCTCCTGCCGGGCTGTTAAATAATAATTAGTTTTGCATATCTGCACTAGACTATTAACAAAAACAATGCTAGCCAATTCTGGCCCTGCGCTGGCCACAAGCCAGGAAGGAAAATACTTTTAAAGTGTATTCATCTGGGGATTACCCACTTGTGTGGAGGGGGAAACTGAGGCAGGGATCAGGGAAGGGACATGCCTGTGGGCATGCAGGTAGTCTGTAGGAGAGCTGGGAGCCCGCTACTTGCCCCACCTCCCAGGTATAAGAAGGAGGGACGTGGCTTGGGCCGCGGGCTACACCAGGTGAATGCTTGGGGCCTGAGCTAGAGCTCATTGAGGGCAAATGGGGGGTTTGGCAGAGTAAAGGTTTCTCTACGCTCAAGGAGCTGATCACTCCCAGCAATCCCCTCTCAGCAGGTGGCTCTGCCAGCCTACTCGCTTGCCCTCAGCTGGCCAGGAAAAAAAATTAAGCCTCACACCAGCTTTGTGAGGTAGGTAAACATCAGCATCCCCCATTTGACATATGGGGAAACCGAGGCACAAGTGGTTGCCCAAGATCCCACAGGGACTTGGGCCAGAGCTGGTACTCAAGAGCTCAGTCTGGCTACCAAACAGCAAGCGGCCGGTCCTGCATATGCTCATTTGTTTAAATATTAAACAGTAACGCCATTGCACACATATATCAATATGCAGCACCAGCAGCCCCGAGCCGGCTGCCTGCCGGCTCCCAACAATCAGCGCAGATGCCCGGGACTCGCTAGACAGGAAAGGGATTGTGACCTCAAACATCCACCGTGGAAGACATCCGCCCCCAGGTCCCAAGCCCCTATAAATATTAAATAGCCATAAATATTAAATAATAATTTCTCATCTGTGGGCTCTGGCGGTGTTTGCTGCGGGGTCGTGTGCGGGGATGCACCAGCCGGGCGGAGCTCACAGATGAGAAATAAATAACCTTAAAATAGCTCAATGGGACCCGAGGTCCTGAATTCATTGGGGCAGACTCAGAGTTCGGGACTTAGTCGTAACTAGGCGCCTCTGACCGCCCAGCCTGTCCCAGTTTTTCATGCCAGCTGTCAGGTCACTCAGAGAGAGACCCGGCCCAAGCCCACCCAGTCCCGTAGCTGGGAAGGTGGGTGGTTGCTTTGCAGAGTGGTGGTTCGCTGGGGAGGGCTTTGGGCATAAGGAGGAATCGAGGGACGGTCCTTGCCCCCCGTGCAGCCCTCCCTTAGATCTCAAAGCCCAGCCCCTCCGCAGGCGCCGATGCGGGGAAGGCGGCCGTGGCGCGTCCCCGTCACAGCTGCGTGAGGTGCCGGAGGGCCCGGAGGGCCATCTCCAGGAAGCGCTGGAAGTTGGCGAGGATGATGAATCCGCTGGCTTGTTTCTCGAAGTCGGAGGAGAAGCTGGGCAGGGGGCCCTGGCCCTCGGCCACGGGGTACGTCACCGTGTTCAGCCCCAGGTCTTCCATCTGCAGGAGCGGGAGGCAGGGAGCCGAGCTAGGGAGAGAGCCAGGGCCTGACACTCCTGGGGCACCCAGACCCTGCCCTGGACACGTGGCCTCCCGCAGGCCCAAAGCGCCCCAAGCCTCAGTCGAGGCCCTGACACTCCTGGGGCACCCAGACCCTGCCCTGGACACGTGGCCTCCCGCAGGCCCAAAGCGCCCCAAGCCTCAGTCGA